AAACACAACCCTCACAATAAAACTTTATGTACAAGAAATGTGCTTCTATTTAACAGTCAGTTTAACCTCTCCTGTCTTTCATTTTTCTTTCCCTCTTCAAACGATACTCACATGGGGAAAGAGACTCAGTCACACTTTTTTCCACGTGCTCTTTTCATTTCCGATCACACTGCTCCACTGACTGAAGTCCTCCCAAGGAGGATCTCTGACTGTTGTCTTATCTGAATCCTCCAAACCACCCAACTACTTACTAGTCTTCCCACTAAAACCCCATCCCACAACTGTAGATTCATTGCTCCCTTTTGCTGTGCTTTGTTCCAAATTGCTTGCATTCTTACAGAAAAAGGATTTGGAAGAGCTGCCACCAGGATACTTCGGCTCTCCATGCAAATGAAACCATCACAGTATTGCCAGTGCAGGGGTGAGGATAAGCCATTGTCAAATTCTCATCTTCCATTGTGAAAACCCCTCTCCTCCATCCTCTGCTGGGGTGCAGAAGTGGGCTTCTAGCTCCACCACCCTACTGCAGCATGCCATCAGAGGTGTTATCCTCTCTCTTGTCTCTATGGAGAGCAGGGTCCAAATGAAGATTGGCACCTATCATTTAAATTATGCCTTCAATCCATTTGTTTAGACTCTTGGTCCATGAGGTTATCCACAAAGTCTAGTTCCTTCTATGGGAAACACATGCCCAAAGAACTGTGGTATTTTTTTGTGAATTCTTGCAACTAAGAATTTTGAAAAAAGATATCCTTAACATTTGATTATAGTGTTGCTCATATGAAAGCAAGCTAACATGATGTTAGAGTAGGTAGCCTCTTGATAGTGCAGCCACTGTATCATTAGGGGAAGAAGGTTGTAGAAGCATCCTTGGGAAGTCTTGCAGACTGCTTATCCTCTCCTCGTTGCTTTTCTCCAGGCATCCGTCATGGCTCACCATTGCAGATATGGATTTTATTTTTAGTATGGCCTTATCCAGTGGTTTTACTTCATCATTATAGAATCATCATAGGATCATCATAGAGTCATTATAGAACAGTCTGGGTTGGAAGGGACCTTCAAGATCATCTAGTGGCACCAATCACTGTCATGGGCAAGGACACCTTCCACTAGAACAGGTTGCTCAAAGCCCCATCCAACCTGGCCTTGAATACATTCAGCTATGGTGCATCCACAACTTCTCTGGGTATTTTTCTTTCATTTCCCAATGAAAGGAAGGCTTTGGAGTGGGGGAAAAAAAAATAAGGAATAAATAAATAAAAGGAGAAGATGCAGAAACAACTTTCTTTATGATCCAAGAGAAAAAATCAAAATCAGTTTATCTGTTTCAGAGCTTCTTCGCAACAGTTATCTAGAAAAATGCCAGGGGGAGAAAACTGTTTTTCCTTTTCCTGATGTATTTTATTGTGAACACAGGCAGAGCTTTAACACTGATTTTTTCTTGTTTCATAGATGTCAGATGCAAATTGCCAAACCTCAGCGTTCTCTGTCATGTTCAGTGTTAGAGTTAGCAACATTCCACAGGAACCATAAACCTTGCAAAACAATGTCAATTTCATCAAGAATAATCTGCTAATTATAAAAGAGGAAAAAAAGCATATACTATTCAATGATATTTTAATAATTGAAGCTATACTTTCTGTTGCTCCTTAGCGTTAGAACTGTGTAATTGTACTGTCTAACAAGTACATCTGAGCAGGAAGAGATTCTGTAAAGATTTATTTATATAAATAAATATATAAATAAAATATCAATTTTGCGGTAATATATACAAATAATATCAAAATATGAGGCTTTCAGAGCAGAATATAGGTCAAGAAAGAAAAATAAAATTAAGCATGTTTTTTATAACAGCAAAAAGAAATCTGGAAACAATGAGTTAATGGTAAATCTTTCTTTTTTTTTTTTTTATTTTAGAAAAAAATTTGTCCAGGCTTATTAAAACTTATCTAACGTATTGCATGAAAGATATTTTCTCAGCCATCTTAAAAAATTTCATCATTGGAAAGAAAAAATTGATACACAGGAATAAAATCTATTCCATCCATGTAACAAGCTGCTCATTCTCCATGAAATAAAATGAATGCCATGGCCCTTTTAAACAGCACAGGGGAGATATTTGGTGTGAAAAGAGATGTAGAAATAATTCTGCAATTCCGATAACACCTTTGGCAATAGATACTCACTGCATATGAGACTTGAGCATCCATTTCCACCTGAAAATTCTCTCTCTCATGATTAGAGATACTATATTTCTGTGTTTCTTCTATTTATAAAGCAGCTTTATACTGCTCTGACAGTAGCATTAAGCATCTTCTGTAATTTGAGGTCACAATCATTAAGTCAATGACTCCATATCTTCAGGAACAAGTAAGTGCAGGAACACCTGTTCTCAGCTATGTCATCTTAAGGGTTTTAAGAACTGAACAAATAATTTTATATTATTTTAAATTATTTTAAATACTGTGGAGAAAAAAGTTATGACCATGGTCATACAATGCTTGTATATGTGCTTAACTTCAAATGCACAAGTAGTCTCACTACCTGTAGTGTGAGAAGTCACATGATAGGATTAGTCCCCACACTGCTTGTCAGTTTATACTGCCAAATGACTCTTCTCCAAAATTTGATGTTGAGTGACACTGCTCTCCCTTACCCTCACTGCCAGAAGCTGGTACCCAGGCAGACTCTATTTGGTGATGTACCGGCTCCTGGCAACAGTATTCAAGTGTGAAAAGGTTAGTACATACTTGAGATCTCTTCCTAAAAATATACAGGTTCACCAGTAGACTCCAGGGAGGACCTTAGAGTGTTATAAATTGGTTTAGGAACACAATTTGCACCTCAGTACAGCTGCCAAATATCATAGAATCATAGAATCATTGAATGGTTTGGGTTGAAAGGGGCATTAAAGATCATCTAGCTCCAACTCCTGTGCCATGGGCAAGGACACCTTCCACTAGACCAGGTTGCTCAATGTTCTATCCAACCTGGCCTTGAACACTTCCAGGGATGGGGCAGCCACAGCTTCTCTGAGCAATCTGTGCCAGGGCCTCACCATCCCCATAGTGAATATTTTTTTCCCAGTATCTAATCTAAGCCTACCCTCTGTCAGCTTAGTCATTTCCCCTTATCCTATCACTAAATGCCCTTGTAAAAAGTCCCTCTCCAGATTTCTATTAGGCCTCCTTTAGGTAGTGGAAGGCTACTTTAATGTCTGCCCAGAGCTTTCTCTTCTCCAGGCTGAATGAGCCTATCGAAATCTGACACAGTATTACATGCTCATTACATATGTTTTCACTCATTGTCGACCTATGACTTCCTATTAGATTGCCACAATGGCCAAGAATTAAAGGAAAATAGTATGTTTAACCAAAAGCAAAATGTTTGGTTTATGCCATTGGTTACAGCATTCAACACTTGAGTATGTTGCAAAATCTCATGCAAAGATGGAAGCATTATTCTAGGCCATGTTTGTGTATGAATGTTTGCTCTTTCTACGGATTTTCTCACTGTTATGTTTATCGAGAAACCTAAAAGGAGGCAGATCTAAAAATGAATTTTTATTAATCCAAGGATATTTATCTATATGAGAGACTTGAAATAGAAGCCTATCTGTGAAAAAGCAATTCTAACACATTTTATGCAAATATTACATTTTATTTAACTTAGTCCTATTAGCCATATAGAAAGAAGAAATACAGCAAGATATTTCCTCTTTTTTTTTGTGCTGCTACATGGTGAAGTCTTAAGAGGGAGGGCATTATGTTAAATTTCAAACATCCCTTTGGTAAGTGGCTTTATATGTTGATGTGTGCCACCTCTACTCAACCTATGACTTCTTAGAACACCATAATATATGACTTTAAGTATTTCTTCTTAAAGCAATGATTGTAAAGAGGGCAAATTTACAGCCATCTTCTTTTGCTATATGTGCATTATCTGTTGCTTTCTGTATTGCCCCAGTTAACTATGAGCTGTGTCCTGGGTTCAGCAGTAGCAGTCATTTTTCTCCTTCTTGGTAGCTGGTGCAGTGCTGTGTTTTGACTTTCAGCTGGGAACAAAGCTGATAAAAATAATGTTTTGGTTTGGCCAAGGACTTTGTGGGCCTCATGCTCTGCAGGGAGGAGGGAAGCTGGGAGGAAGCAGAGACAGGACACCTGACCCAAACTGACCTAAGAAGTATTCCATACCACAGCACGTCATGCCTGGGATGTAACTGGGAGAGGGACCCAGAAGGGGGTTAGGGTGGACTGCAGGGTTGGAGGAGGTATCAGTCGGTGCTTAGTCGGGCTGGGGGGCGAGTTATCGGTCGCCTGGTGGTGAGGTGTTGTATTCTCTTCCCTTGTTATTTCCTTTATCATTACTATTATTGGTGGTAGCAGTAGTGATTTGTGTTATACCTTAGTTACTAAACTGTTCTTATCTCAACCCGTGGGAGTTGCATTCTTTCTGATTCTCCTCTCCGTCCCTCCGAGAGTAGGGGGAGGGCAAGAAGTGGGGGGGCAGTGAGTGAAAGCTGTCTGGCATTGGTTAAAACCACAACAAGCGGATACATTAGAGTGTAAAGTCAGTAGGAATCATTCCATTGATGTCAGAAATTGATTAGGAAAATTTCTAACTTTTCTTGTGTCTCCAGGAAACACACATAAATTTGAAAAAAGTGAAGGTTTGCATTCTGTTGAAAATTTGTCCTGTGTAGTACAATGTGTGACTTGTATACCCTATCATATCAAGTTCCTCTGTCCTTCTATTCAGGGCTTATAGTCTCTACAGATTTGATTAGAGAAAGTTATTCATGGTTTGTTCTCAGAAAAGGCCACTTAACTGCAAGGACATCGATCTGTTTGGCTTCTTTAACATAATGCTTTCGCTGCTATTCAATCACTTAATGCAATACAATTTTTCATATGCTTTCTCTGCTAGGCCTCTATTTTTAGTGTTTGGATCTTTGTAACAATTTACTACATCTGCCTTTTGATTTCCTATATCTGTCACAGAGCTAGAAATGTGAAGAAGACATGCTTCATGAACCCATGGTCTTCTACCAGGGCACAGAAGACTTTGATTTTGCTTTAATCCATGTTTGTCACAACATTTTTTAACACCACCACCATTTTCTCCAATTTTCCCTTTTCTTTATTGCTGTGGTAGCAACATTGTGACCAAAGTACAGTCCCAGAGACACCTCTTGTACAATGTCAGCACCATATAAAAGGGACAAAAAAAAGAATTGACTAACCAATTCCAAACTGGTTGAAATTGGTTAGTCAGCAAAAATTCTTTGCACTTTCCCCTTTCCAAATTAACAAAAAATATTAATGGTGTGTTTATATTAAAAATATTTTGAGTTATACTTTATTTCTTTTGAAGAAAACCTAAATAGTTTTTAAGACGAAAAAAAAGGTTCAATAGGATCCACAGAGGAAAAAGAAAGTTTCTATAATTTCAGACAGTATAAAATACTTACATAATGTCGTCACTGACCATATGAAACAGAGTTGTCTTCAGGATCTAGACATAGGCTATCAACACCAAAACGCTTCTTTAAATCATTAAGATCCTGCTTAGGATGTGCTCTTTTTTGAAGAATAATTACAAATTAAACATTGCCATAACCTTCCTATGTTTTAGCACTTTTTAGAGTAAATGCCTTACTTGCTATTAAATGGAAATTTGTATTTCTTATTGTATTCATTGTATCTCGTAGACAGCATGTTGAACACGAAAAAAGTTATCCATTGATTCTATGCTTTTTTTTCACATAAAATCATAGAATCATACAATAGGTAGGGTTGGAAAGGACCTTAAGATCATCTAGTTCCAACCCCCATGACATGGGCAAAAACACCTCACACTAAACTGTGTCACCCAAGGCTTCATCCAACCTGGCCTTGCACACCGCCACAGATGGAGCATTCACAGCTTTCCTGGGCAATCCATTCTGGTGCCTCACCACCCTAACAGGAAAGAATTTCTTCCTTATGTCCAATCTAAACTTCCCCTGTTTAAGTTTGAACCCGTTACCCCTTGTCCTGTCACTACAGTCCCTAACGAATAGTCCACCCCCAGCATCGCTATAATGCCCCTTCAGATATTGGAAGTCTGCTATGAGGTCTGCACGCAGCCTTCTCTTCTCCAGGACGAACAGCCCCAACTTTCTCAGCCTCTCTTCATACAGGAAGTGCTCCAGTCCCCTGATCATCCTTGTGGCCCTCCTCTGAACTTGTTCCAACCGTTCCATGTCCTTTTTATTTTGAGGACACCAGAACTGTACATGAATCTCCCAGTAAGGTCCCACTAGAGCAGAGTAGAGGGGCAGGATCACCTCCTTTGACCAGCTGGTCACTCTCCTTTTGATGCAGCCCAGGATATGGTTGGCTTTCTGGGCTGCAAGTGCACACTGAAGCTGGCTCATGTTCATTTTCTCATCGACCAGCACCCCCAAGTCCTTCTCCACAGGGCTGCTCTGAATCCCTTCTCTGCCCAGCCTGTAGCTGTGCCTGGGATTGCTCCGATCCAGGTGTAGGACCTTGCACGTGGCATGGTTTAACTTCATAAGCTTGGCATCAGCCCACCACACAAGCATGTCAAGTTCAATCTGGGTGGCATTCTTTCCCTCCAGAGTACCAACTGAGCCACACAGCTTGGTGTCATCGGCAAACTTGCTGAGGACACACTCAATCCCACTGTCCATGACACAGACAAAAATGTTGAACAAGACCAGTCCCAACACTAATCTCTGTGGGACATGACTCGTTACTGGTCTCCAACTGGACACTGAGCCATTGACCACAACTCTTTGTGTGCTTCCATCCAGCCAGTTCTTTATCCACTGAGTGGTCCGTTCATCAAATTGTTGTCTCTCCAATTTAGAGACAAGGATGTCGTGTGGGACAGTGTTGAACGCTTGGCACAAATCCAGGTAGATGGCATCAGCTGCTCTACCCCTGTCCATCAGTTTCGTAGCCCCATCATAAAAGGCCAGCAAATTGGTCAGGCAGGATTTCCCCTTGGTGAAGTCATGCTGGCTGTCACCAAGCACCTTGTTGTTTTTCACGTGCCTTAGCATGCCTTCCAGGAGAATCTGCTCCAACATTTTTGCCAGATGGTCTCAAACCAGATCCTCTCCTACAGTGGGCCTAGTGTCTTCATACTCACAGACCCTGCACCTACCTTCCAAGTCTTGGGTGGTGTTGTCAGAGCATTTGCCAGTGAAGACCGAGACAAACAAGTCATTAAGAACCTCAGCCTTCTCCAAATCCAAGGTAACCATTTCTCTTGATAGCTTCCTGAGGGGGCCTACATTGTCCCTAGTCTGTCTTTTATTCACTATGTATCTATAGTATCCCTTCTTGTTTTCCTTAAGATCCCTAGCCAAGTTTAATTCGAACTGGGCCTTAGCTTTCCTAACCTCGTCCCTGGCTTCCCAGACAACATCCTTGTATTCTTCCCAGGCCACCTGTCCTTGATTCCACCTTTTATAAGCCTCTTTTTTCCTTCAAATTTTCCTCATCAGCTCCTTATCCAGCCAAGGAGGTCTCCTGGCCCTCCTGCTGCACTTCCTTCCAGTTGGGATTCAACACTCCTGAGCTTGTAGCAGGTGATCCTTGAATATCAACCAAGAGTCTTGGGCCCCCCTGCCCTCTAGGGCTATATCCCATGGAACCTTACTAAGCAGATTCCTGAAGAGGCCAAAGTCTCCTCTCTTGAAGTCCAGGGCAGTGGGCTTTCTGAGTGCTCTTCTCACTGCCCTAAGGATCTTGAATCTGAAATCCATTTAAATTTATGTATGTTAACATGAGTCAGTTTTACCTGGCAAGGTATCTTCATTGTACCTATCATGTTTCTCCTATTTTGCCTAATTTTCCCTTATTTTTCTTCTAAATTTTCTTTTAAACCTCAGTCACCGCTAACTAACAGTGCAGCAAAGCCAAAATTCTTCAACAATTTAAAACCCTCTCAACATGACTGATTTTGAGATAGGTAGACTAATGACCTAAACAATGGTGCAGAGGTTATAGAGGTACAAAATTGTTGCCAAATACTGACTTCACTTAACCACTAAATTATTATCAAGTACATGTTATAGCACATGCTAGTGGTGTCTGTTATGAAGAATATAAAAATTAACCAACCTCCCTTCAGTGTAGTGTACATCATTCATACCAACTTTTTAATTGTATGGCCTATCTAGCCCTGGGAACCGTATCAATTCCCTTGCAAACACTAAAAAAAAAAAAATGCTGGTATTATGTAAAATCTTGGAGAAATCACTGTCAATTATCTCAAAAAAATCTTTATTATATTCTTTGATGAATTCTAGAATGTAAATTATTTAATGTTGGGTTGCCTCAAATGTCTATCTCAATTATCAGTAGTCACATAAGTTTGGATTTAACTTTCTTTAAGCTCTTTTTTTTTAATACATCACAAGTACATATCCAGCAATCTATTTCTTAATTCGCTGTCTTTATATACATATGTAGTCTCACAGTTTTTAACACACGATAGTATATCAAGTTTCAAGAATGACCTCTCAAATTCCTTAATTTATAGGGTAATTATGTATCTGTAACAAACAGGGTTTAACAGAAAGAACTTGATACATTTGTGCTTTCCCTTTATTCAACTGTAACTCCCATAGGTTTCAAAGATCTTTGGTTTAAAGGTGCTTTCAGCTGGAAAATGTAGAAAAAAAATATGTATTGTTCATTACTAAGGAAGAGTTTTATCTGACAGTTGTGAATAATGTTAAGTTTTGAGTTGTTGTTTTTGTGTTTGTTGGTTTGAGGCTTTGGTTTATTGTGGTTTTTTTTTTTGGTTGGTTGGTTGCTAGTTTTGTTCTGGGTTTTTCCCCCCCAAATGCCTGTTGGAATATAACAAATAAAACATTTGGAAAATTACATACATGAATTTCATGACAGTATTATGTAGTTTGCCATTCAAGCTTTATAGTGTTAAGCGTAATGTAATTAAATACAGAGAATTAGGGATTCAATCAGATGCTGTCTAGACCTTTTCTACAGAAGAACAGTGGGGACATTCAACAGAACTGGAAGACAGCATAAATGTAAATTAACATAAAGCTAACTGAAAGACAGCAAAGATGAATCTGATAACAGAGAACTTTATATAAAAAATACTTTACCTGTGGTGCCAATACCACAAGATGTTATAGAGGACAACAATATGAGATTACAGGAAAAGACAAAGTATGTGGATGAATAAGAATATCATCCTCAAATGTATCTGAAAAGATTAAGAATTTATATAAACATTTGCAGATACGCTGTGAAACCACTTTGTGAAATAATTGTTCCATATAAAATCTGAAAGTCCTGGGTGATGGTTTGCTGTGCAAATTTTCTTTTAAGAGGTCGGGTTGGTCTATACCTTCACTATGCTGAGTCCTAGAAAGTCATAGCTTGTTTTTTTTTTTAAAAAAAAAAAAAAGGTTTCGGTGAGAGAGTTTTATTGTGAAAACTCCCCTTATTTTTGTGGAAAACGGAAATACTAAGAAATATTGTCTTGAGCAGCTACTTACTGATCAGAAAATTGATAGATGTATATGTATCCTTGCTCTGTGCTCATAAAATGTTGCAGTGGGAGTACCAACAAAACCAAACATGCATATTAGCTTAATTTGGCAAATAATGATTTCTGATAGCACTTTAAATTAGATTTGGTTTTAGAGGAGACTGATCATTCACTTTGAATGACAATTAATTTGGGAATGAAAAGTAAATCAGCCTTTGTCTATGTTTACAACAATAAAGCAGGGTACATTTCATATCACCAGCTTAACTGTTTTAAAGATAAAAGTAATTGCAGATTAAAAGAGAAATGACAGTGGAGATTGTTTTCTACTTTTTGTCTTGGAAATTTCAGTAATATTCTTTTCTCTACAATCTGTCCTCTGCCAGTCTTTTTGCTGTTCCTACAGTTCTGAGGTGAAAAAGGCTTTCTCAGAGCATAGCAATACTTTGAACCTCAGATACATGTGAATTTGATATACGATGCACCTCAGCTGCCTTCTGCTATTGAACTCAGTGACACATCTTTTACCATTTCCACACCTTTA